GATCTAGTTGAATGACCACTTCCAGAATTTGATTTGGGCAGCAATGCACAGAGAGTTCCATAATTAGCACCTTGGAAGATCTGAAAATATTAATCTATACCACTGTACAAAACATACGTAATGTCATGAAGATAGGTATTTGAAACAGAAGATGTCAGATTGGATCTAATTTTTGAATAAACATATAATTTCTGTTTCAACTTAGTGGTTAAGACTTGTACATGATCACGATAAGTCAAATGAGAATCCAAAGATATTTGTAGGTAGTGACAATATCAAGGGGTTTGTTTAAAAAAGTGAGTTGATTTGTTGTATTGAAATGTCTCCTGGGTGAGGAAAAATACATGCACACATTTTTTAACATTAATTGACAAAAGATTATCTTGAAGCCAACCATGAAATGTCTGAAGATCTGCTTGTAACTGACTATTAATAGATTCAATATTGAAATCAGACAAAAAAAGAACAGTATCAACAGCATACATKAAAATATGTGAAAACTCATATTTGGTCACAAACATACAAAAGTACACATACTAAATAGGACTAACATTACCTAATCCTCCAGTTTGTCTGTTTTTTTTTCTTGTACACTTGCTGGGCTGATGCAGCACTATTATGAATTCTTACCAAAAGTTCTCCTGGAAAATCCTGCAGTCCTGCTGCAGAATCTGAGAGAGAAGGTGGRTAGAGCTGCGACTACGTCACTGTGATCCTTTACAAAAAGAAACAGAACATTCTCTTATTTATTACCTGCTCTGACTTTTATTTATTAACTCAAAATATCATCAGCTGTTCAGATTTTTTTTACAGATGTTAGATGTTAGAAGACCAGACGTGAAACTGTTCTTTTCTCTGACTGTGATTTCAGAACTAAAACCACCAAATAAAAGGTTTTGTCTTTTAGTTATTTTTACAAGTGCCTCTACTTAMAGTGCAGACATGTGGAGTATCAGTTGGTATGAGTTTTTCGGTGGTATTGTCGTGTAAATGGCACAGGGAGAAAAATCTTTGTTAAAATGTAAGCATTAAGACATAAAATCCTCCTTAGCTGTCATTGGAGCTGCACTGAAAGCAGAAAAGTGCCTATTATTTAAGCTTTGTGGTTGAAGTTTATTAATCCTGTAGCAAGACAGCGTCTTTTACATTTGTTTCTGATAATCTAAAATTTAATCAAATCCAAATGTTTCTATGCAGCAAAAGAAAGAAAGGAAAGACATGTTTTAGCTTTAGCTTGGTTGTTGATTTGATCTGTTGTGCATCAGAAGAGTGACTCTTTTCATTTTCAGCTGACAGTAAAAAAAAATAAAATAAAATAAAGACTATCAAATGGTGGCTTGTTGTTTGCAGGGCTTTAATTCCCATCRGTCTGCAAACTGAGCTGTGGCCTTGACATTAGAACTCTGCAGGGTTTTCATCCCACGCTGAGCCTGAGACACAAAGCCCAGAACTGCGACTCGGGCTTCGTCAGCTGTGATTACATTTCCACTAGGCTGGACACAGCTCACAGGGCTGATGGACACTCACCATCACTCTGATAAGAACACACACAGGAACAACTTTGCATGCATGTGTTCTTGGCCGCGGCCTCGAAAGAACGAGCTGAGGAATTAGAAAAGTTGCCATGGTTACTGGTGCTAACAACATCCTGAAGCAGCTTTTCCCTCAGGCAGTGTCATGGCTTCAGCCAGCAGCACGCCACTCTTCCGCTGGAAAACCTTTGATTACCATTCTGAAGATAAAGCAAGTTAAGAACCAGAAATTTTCAGCTTCCAATTAAGTTGAGATATTTTATGCACTAAGTCCACAATGTAGTTAGTGTGTCATCTGCAGGGAGTAATGAGCTCTGCTATAGCAGCATGAGGGTTTGTTGCCTGTTCCTCTTTCTCTGAATCTTTGTTCCATGATGTTGTGAAGTTGAGGTCAACAAAGTCAGAAAACAAACTTTCTTCTTATTTAGTCAGATTTTTCCAGCTCTGGGGCACATGCTGGGTGAAAGAATGACGCATGAAAGATTCAACAGGAGGATGAAAAAAAGACCAAACAGAGGAGGTGAGTCTAATGACCGCAGGGAGATAAAGAAGGATTTAGAAGCAGCAAATGCTCAAATTATTGACAAAACTACATTTGACACATTATATATCCGTGTTYTGGAGTCAAACAAATTCAAATGGCTGTAATATCCAATCGACCTTTACCAGCATAAAAATGGCTAAAACTCAGTCAGTTGTTCAGAAATTGAGATAAAATCTGGTTGGCAGTATGCAAAGTCAAGCTCATTCTCTGTGATGGTTAGACTCAGCTGTCCCTTGTCTCCGATCCTGCAGGATCTCAAGGCACAGTCAGTGACGGGTGTCTGTTTTTGGGAACCACAGGGTCTCATCTCTGCTGTATGCAGATGATGTGGTTCTGTTGACGTCTTTGGGCTAAGACCTTCAGYGTGCACAGAAGGTGTTTACACACGGCCCCCAGATGGCCTAGGTCTGGCCCTGCCCAGCCCTGGATGTTTTGCACTGACATCAGAGCCGCCTCGAAGTGAGTGGGAAGTGTTTACCGGAAAAGCGCGCACAGCGGTCCTTAAACGTCGAGTGGGACGACAAATGGTGATACGCAGAAGAGCGGAGTTTCCCAAGGCTGTACTTGGCCATACAACAGCAACAGAAAGTGGCTATAGCGAGACGCAGACGGCATCGATGAGCAAGCTAGCAATATTAGCTTGTTACATGCTACCGTTATGAAAGCAGTTGCTTTTTCATAGATCTATATGTTTTTTAATGACTTGCCGGACTCGTTTTGACTCGTCAGAGCAAAACAAATAAGTCGTCAAACCAGGCCGGCCTGATTGGAACCTTGCCTGGGCAGGTTCCAGAACTCGGGCTGGATCTGGCCCTACTATGCTTATGCACAACCGCCGAACCCGGGTTAGAAGTCGGGCCGGGCCAGGCCGGGGCCGGCCCTGCAGTGCGTAAACACCTTGAGTGGAGTGGAGCCTCCTCCAGGTCAGGGCGAGGGGGGGTGGTCTCTGCCTCAACTGGAGGAGTTTAATGGTGGATTCACACCAAATGCATTTTGAGCTGCAGGAGTAGCCAGTTTCTATGGTGGACGCGCCTTTAGGGGTCGTGCGTCATGTCACGTCCGTTTTGCGCTGCGCTCAAGGAAGCGGAAGGGGCGGCAGAGCATTTTCCGTGCATGCAGTGCTGCGGAAGCAGCCGACGCCCAAGTTCAAAAATCTGAACTTTTCGCTGCTCGACGTGCCTTGACAACCAACCAGAGAGACTAATTTKTCCAAGTGACAGTTACCTGAATGTTGCTCACTAAACCGAAACAGACAGACAGGAGATCTTTAGCTGAAATTGACCGTCTGCAGTTGGATTTTCTGGCAGGATATATCAGTACCAATGTGGGTCAGCTGCTCGGGACAAAAAAAAGGTCTGTCAGCTCGCAGCTCATTGAGTGGCGAAACCAACCAAACAAATTGCCTCTAAATCACCTGGTGAATTAATTATCTGCTGTGGGCAACGTTCTCTTGCTCTTTAGTAAATAAATCAAAGCCATTTTCTTTATTTTATCTTTATTTCACCCGCTGATGACAGACTGGAAAAAAACCAAGACGCTCCTCCTTCTTCAGACACACGTCTGCTCTGTGTCCCAGTCTGAACATAGTGGGTCCAACTGGAGGCGGTGGGCGCTTTTCTTGCTGCTCAAAACGTGTTCGGTGCATCTGGGTGTTTTCTTCACGAGTGATGGAAGGATGGAGTGGGAGATGAATTGACAAATTGGGGCTCATCCTCAGTCTTGAGGGCATTGCTTCATTCAGTCGTAGTGAAGAAAGATGTGAGTCAAAAGGCAAAATTTGTCTGTCTACGTTCCAACCCTCACCTATGGTCATGAGACGTGGATCATGAGCGAAAGAATGAAAGCCCGGATACAAGTGGTCATAATGAGCTTCCTTCATAGGGTGGCCGGGCTCAGCCTTAGAGATAGACTGAGGAGCATCATCCGGGGGAGCTCAGCGTAGAGCCGCTGCTCCTCCACACTGAAATGAGTCAGTTGAGGTGATTCATCTGATTAGGATGCTTCCTGGACGCCTCCCTTTAGAGGTGTTCCAGGCATGTCCCACTGGTAGGAGGCCCTGAGAAAAACCCAAGACTTGTCGAAGAGACTATGTATCCTCTCTGGGAACACCTTGGGCTCGCCCAGGACGAGCTGGAAGGAGTCACAGAGGAGAGGGATGTCTGGGTTCCTCTCCTGGACCCGTTGCCTCTGTGACCCGACTTGGCAAAGAGGCAGAAGATGGAGATTTAGTAGCTGAAAGTTATCACCAACACATATTTGGAGCACTGACTGCACCAACTGTGCGACATCTTCCTTTCAAACTTTGGCATGGGGAGAACCAAAAGCCAAAGCAGAATTTCAGTAGATTTGTTATAAAGGTCTCTGGCAAAGCGGAGCCAATAAAAAAAATATTACAAGCAATGAACTCTAGTGCATTTGTAGGTCAACATATCTTTTACAAACGAATGATAATTTTAGTGTGAGTGTAGGGCAACATTTAATGAGAATCATTACAAAACTATCCAGCAAAAGAGTGTGACACATTTACATAATGGAATAACTAATACCGACCTAAAAAAGTAAATGTATGCCAATAAATACTCCTTTTTGTCATCCTTAATTGTAGCCTTTCCTTAGTAAAATAAATAACTTTATTTAGTCCATGCACTAAGATTTACTTAGATTTCTGTTTTTATGTATGTAATCTTTACTATTTTTATTTAAAAAAAACAGGCTAGATAAAACTGAAAAAAAAAAAACATGCATGTTAAGTTAAAGTGCACAGAAATATAAAGATAGTACCCTTAAAGGGCCAAACACCTTGAAATTGGCCTCTGTCTGTTTAAGAACCTCCTACCGCTTCTGTCACGCCACTTTCTGCACGTCACAACAGCTTCATGCTGTTTACAACCTGGAGCGTCATAGCCTATTTTGCTGTCATGATAATTAAAAAAAACTKTTACATTATACAATATCGGAAACTCAGGATAAAAATGAACTTATTGTCGGACCAGAAAGTACGTTTTCTGAAGATCCAGAGCGAATAGAGACGGTTCAGCTCAGTAAGATATCTCCCAGTCATCCTCACACACACACACGCCAATGTAAAGCTAATTTGTTTATTACTAAAATGTGGTGTAAGCCAACTAAAGAACACAGATCATAATAAAATAAAGTTACGAATGCTAACCTTAGATCACAGAGTTGAAATTGCACTGTCTTTTAGTGATAATCTTGTCATTAGTCCACTGTTAAATTTCCATTTGTTCAGAAAGCTTTCATCCACAAAGTGTCTTGCACAAATACAGTAAATATCTTTTTTTTCCGTTGGAGGGTTACTTCCATAAATGAAATCAAACCATTTCTTAAGAACCATGTCATCCTTGGTATCCAAAAATCCGTTTCCCCAAAGGCATTTTTAAATTTGAAAAGGACTGGACTGAGGATTACGAGCACAGCAGACATGCAGTCTCACCAGTTGTTTGCTAGTTGTTGCTGCTGATAGCCTGCAAGAGTGGTGGGGGAGGTGCGCTCTGTGATGAGGAAGCTCGGCTTGTAGACACAGCCCAGAGGAGGAGCTGCACAAAAGGCGTTTCTAGGCCCAATAGGTCATTTTTGTTCTCCCGCCTGCCTGCCTCAGGACTGTACAGGATTTCTCAAACATGCATGAATGAGACAAAGCAACACTCTGTGTATGTTTTTGATGAGGGGATAATGTTATAACATGATATAAAACTCAAAAAAGTAGATTTTACATGATATTGCCCCTTTAAGGCACTATTTGAGTTGATTTTGGATTTAATTACACTTAAACTGTAACTCTAAATCGTCTGCAGGTGTGTGTGAGAGTTTGAATGTCTCGTTAGTCTTGATGTGTCTCTGTGATGACCTGTTCAGGGTGGACCCGCCTCTCTCACAGTGACTGTTGTTAAAAAAAAACACCAGCTCCCTGCGACACTTATAGAAAAACRCGGGTAAAGGAATGGATGGATGGATTTTCTCTGCTCATCAAGCAGCCTTGAACAGGTGTTAGAAAACGCAGGTGCTGCTTCTTTTTATAAAAGCAGCATTCCTTTCCATCCAGCAGACTGCAGAGGATCAGAGTCCTCTTTGGATCTGGTGCTTCAGCCTTTTGTCTGATTTTCCAGCACTGTTATAGGGCTAAACAGAGTTCTGCTGCTGAAAGTATTGTCTTCACACACACATATTCACAAAGTAAAAAAAAAAGCATACGAGCACAGAAAAGGCAAGGTCTTCCAAACCCACATGACAGAGCAAACAGAAACGGTGATCCGGAAAGACAACGTGCTAACGGGCAGTCACACAAGGTGAATCCCTCAGCACTGAGCGGCCGCTCTGAACAGGACAGATTCTTCTCCTGGGATGTTTGACAGTCTCCCTCGGCTGGTGACACAGCCTGGRGATTAGTTGTGTTTACTGCAGGATGTCAAACACACACACACACACACAAACCCACACACACAGATACTGACAGACACAACTCACGGTGCAGAAATGCTCCCTTGTGATGAGACGTCTCCGTCTGTCTTCCCTCCAGGTACGTGGGTGACATTTGGAGGACAGATAACAGATGAGGTAAGAAGAGTTTCCCACATCTTACATGTTTGTTTCACCCGATAAATATCCACTCTCTGGTGTCACTGGGTTATTCTTCGGATGAGTGATTTTGTGGTTCTCGCCGCAGAGTGTAGCGGGATGAATGTTTGTTTGAGAACTGAGTATCTGAGGATGTGTTTGTTCCAAACATACAATGATACTGGAAAACAAAACAAATGGCAGCAGATTGTAAAACAAAACTCTATAAAAACCAATTAAATTATTTATTATGATGATGATGAACATTTGATTGGAATAACATCACAAAGTGACAGCTATAATTGAGTAAATAAAATACAACAAATCTTGTAAGAAAGTCCACATGTGGAATGACTCCAGCACACCTTATATTAGAAACTTTTTTGTTGTCAATTACTGTTTAATTACTAAGATTTTGCTTTCGGTTGTTGACAATTAATATGCTTGGTTAGGATAGTTTAAATAAATACTTACCAGTCATCTTACTTTCACCTCATACTTTTGTTTTTAGCTGCTGTTTGACGAAGGCTAAAAACATCTGCCGCTGTAATGTCTTATTATTGTAATGAATGGCTCGATAG